GGGGGGGGGGGGGGGGGGGGGGGGGGGGGGGGGGGGGGGGGTACATGGACTTCTTCTGAGGAAGAAGGCATCAGTTTGTGGTATTGATAGAACAAAGAACTCTGTGCTGAAAGCTGTGTGAATTATTTGATCGAGAGGTCACTGTCTAACGTAAATGAAGAGCTTATTAGAAACGTTTTCTTTTGTATCTGCGTTTATTTAACAGAATCAACAAAGAAGCCAGTATATCCTCCAAATTACACTTAAATAACTCACCTAACTAATCGGTAGTTAGATACAATTCAAATTACTACTTATTGATTAATTTTTATAAATCATTTTCTTTGAATTAGAATTTAAGTAGTCTGGATGTAAATGGCCACTGTTAAATAAATCCTTCTTCATAATGACAAAACCCACAAAAACAGTGTTGTTGTCCAGAATTCAGAGCGAAAGCTACAGTCAGAAAGAGACAACAACCAACATGGAGGAGTAGGAATCTGCTCAGGATGGAGACGTCCTCCTCCAGCTCCTCCACCCTGACCGAAACTGAACTGTAACTGTTTCAAAGGCACTGGCAGGAAGGCAGATAAAGCCGGACAATCTGGACGAGGGTGGACAGGCAGAGCGGAGAGACAGATGAGACGCTAAACAGAAGCAGAGAGGAACAGGCTCGTTCTGTAATCTAATGATAATGATGACTGTGTGCAGGCTCTAACTCTAATTATCTGCCACACACTGAAATGGGATAAGTCCTCGGGGAGCTCTCGCTGGAAAGAGGAGGATAGTGTAAGGGGAAAGACGGAGGACGAGGAGAAACGTCTGCAGTTATGCAACACGACCCCCCCCGCTGCCCCCGTGTTATTGGAGGGCCTGAATAATTGAGCAAATAATTAAGACCCCATATTCAAACAATTACCCAAACATGAAAGAAGGATCAAGAAAGACAAGGAGCCTCACCACAGATGGGGAAGGCCCCCTGCAGCCCCCAATATCTGAAACTCAAAGAATGAATGGAATTCTGCAGGATGATGGAGGAGTTTCAGAAAAAGAAAAAAGAAAAAACACGTGCCCTTTACTTGAAAGCAGCGTTTTAGAAAATACTTTAAAAACTTCTGTGCTCATCTGGAGTGCCTTATTCTTGGATTTTCTGTTTGAAAAGCACCATGTGTAAGTTCAACCAGGACTGAAAGCAAGCATTTAAACTAATAACTCTACTTCAACCTCAAGTTTTTTTTCTAAATCAGGTCATTTGTCAACCTTAATTCCCCCGAAACAAAACAAGACCTGTCTTCAAAATTGATGCATATTATTAAGATAGAAATAAAGGTAAGCATCATAAAAGGGGAAGTTCTCCTTAATCTCAGTGCAACATCCCCCCATGTATTCTGTTATAGCTAAATAATCCAGCTCTAGCTAATTCCAGCCCCTAAAAGACCTCAACAGAAACATCTTATTTGGTCCCGATATGACGTAATATTTTGATGACTGATCGCTGATGTGAAACGCATCAGTTTCTCATCAACCAATTTTTAAAGTGACTCAAACAAATGTGCTCCCATCTTAACTCGGTTCGTTTTATAAATGAGTGGCATCCCTCTCCGAGTATCCCCCAGCCGTCTTTTGTTTTTCGAGGCTGAGCGAATGAGCACGCTGCGTGTCCACGTCCACACACACACACACACACACTCCGGCCTGACCTTCTCCGCCTGCGTCCTGTCTCCCCCCGCAGTGAGCTCCAACCAGAGCCATGGGGAGTACCCGGACTGTCGGAGTGAGCGGGAGTCGGGGGGGGAGGCATCGCTCCTGGTGTCTCCGCTGGTGGTCGCCGGGATCGTGATAGGCCTGGTCCTCTTCCTCTCCTGCATCACCATCATCGTCGGCAGCCTGCGCAAAGACAGCCGGCTCAGAAACCCCCACCTCCGGGCCAGCTATGGTCAGTCCCTGACGCCTCCATCGATTTTTTTTTTAATAATGAAGCGTGCAGACAGGTACCCTCGTCAGGGATTATGGATGACACAGGAATAGCTGCCATTTGAAGCAATGAAGCAGCCTCATAATGAGAGGCTGTCTAATGTGTCTGCATAAACACAATCGGGGGGGGGGAGGGAATGGAGCTAAAGTTGTTAGTGTGGCTGAAGCTGAGTCCAGTCTCAGCTTCTTTGTCTCTGTCTTTCCAGGACCGGACGGCTTCTCCTACGGAGGCTCGGCGGGGGAGCTGAGGTCCAGCTGCTTAGAGGACTTCCCCCCCGGTTTGGACTTCGACTCGTACAGAGAGAACCTTTCCCAGATCAGTAACCTGTACCCCGACTCCCCACCACGGTAAGAGCTGCCGTCAGTTTGCCGGCTTTACCAAATCGGGAGGGTCAGCTGATTTTTGGACGTACAACCAGCTTATTAGTTTCTTTTAAAGAAGTCTGTCTTTTTCCTGCAGCAAACAATCTTTGTGATGAACATTATTTCCTGCTTTTTTTAAAATAATAATAAGAAAAAGGGGCATGATACAGGAAGCATGATGCTACACCAGTGTCAGAGCTACTTCCTCTGCTGTACAAACAACAAATACACATGAGAAACTCAAGGGTTCTTGAGTTTCTTAGAAAGAAAGCCTGGAATTCTTTATTTTATTTATTTTTTTTTTTTTTTATTCTTTATTTTTTTATATATGGTTCTCAAATGCCCATGTTAAGTACATTATACATGCATGTGTGTGTGTGTGGGGGGGGATCTGGGGATGGATAACCAGGCTGAATGAAGGGTTGACATTATCAGGGTAGTGTCCACCTGTGGTCCACATGTGGGCATCGGAGCTGGAGAAGGTAAATGACCTGCAGCTTTTGGAGTGGGGAGTGAATTCCTGTCTCAGTGGGAGTTTTTAGCTTTGGCTGCACGGGACAGAGGATGACAAATTGTTGCTTTCTGGCGAGAGGGATTGTTACTCTGTGGTCGAAATGGGTCGCAGAGCAAACAGAAAGCGCAGCCGCGTGTGTTGTCGAGCTGAGGTAACACCTGGGCTCGGTCTTTCAAATGGACCCCGGTCCTTTAACAGCCATAAATGCTCCGGGGAAAATCGAGTTATTAACCAGAGAATGTCTGATGCATTCATACTCTCTAGACTGTGTTCGAAATTGGTTCAGATGTTGTAAAAATCAGCTTCCAGGGGCAGATTTTTGCACCAGTTTGAGAAAATGAATGACTAAAATGAACTTTATGGTGAATTTGACCGCGCTAATATACTCTTTACTGGAATCTGGATGTTGTGCCCAGGTGCATTTGTCCAGTTTGAGAAGGTTACTTTCTTCTGATCTAACATGTTAATGTGCATTTTAAAGTTCAGTCATCCGTTGTTGTTTTTTCACTTTGTTATATCTTTGCTTCTTTACACCAAACCTAAAGGTAATGAGTTCAGATCAAATCTTAAACTACCCACTGGGAGCTAAAGTGTGGTGAAATCAAAAGAGAGCCCTCTTCTTAAGCCAATTATGTCAAATGTCAAACATAAGATGCAACTGACCGTTCATCCTAACGTGCCCCACTGTTCTCAGTCCACTCAGTTTGATCCATTTTCTGTGGCCATTCACTTATTAGAGGGCCCTGCCGCCTTTTGTGCCCTTTAGAAGGATGTTGAAGCGATTATTTGCGCGCTTTCCAAGGGAACGTGGTGGAAAGACGGAAAGAGGGAGCCTGCTAAAAGACGGTGTCGTGGTGTTTTTGATCTAAATGTCACCTGGTCTAATTGGCAACTTGAATAATTCACATAAATCCCCACCCTGTGGTGTGTGTGTGTGGGCGGCTCCTTTTCCTCTTTTCAGCACCTTAAACATCCAAAATCTTCCATCTGAGCCTGTGTGGCACACTTTTTCAAAGACCATCCACTGTTCTTGGGCAGAAGCCTTGAACTCAGATAGATTTCTTCTCTTCACACCATGGCTTCTGCTCTCTGAGGTTTCAGCGGACTCAGCACACTGTGAGAGATGTTCCAGATGGATTCTGATTCCTGCTGATTCGACAGTTCTCGCGGGCTTCTGAGCAAACATTCATCACGATGAACCTGAGGCAGGAGGGTCCCGGCTGTGGAGGCGATCTGGGGACCGACCCGGGGCCTGTGTCGGGGCTCTGGGCGCCATCTTCCACCTCAGACAAATTAATCCACCTACTGGACAAATACATCAGCTGGGAAAGCCTGCACCTGCTAGCATTAGCGTTTGGAATTTGGTGCCGCAGGGTCTAAAGTGGGCCGGGCGTGATGTCACGGTTGAATTTTTTTAGCCGCGGTGGGATTTCCGATGCGTCCGGCCGACGGAGAATCCCGAGTGGACGGCGATTCCGAGGCCCAGGGCGAGAGGAAGCGGCATCATGACCGGGAAATAAAAAGCGAGAGAAAAAGGGGAGCTAGCAAACTACGTCAGCGCTCTGGCAGGGCACCAGGTTGTTCTGGGCCGCCTGTGAGAGTGCAACTTTTTGGCCAGCATGAAGGGACGGCAGCCAACACACACACACACACACACACACACACACACACACACACACACACACACACACACACACACGCACACACACCAATGTGTAACGTACACA